GAAGGCGTCCAACCTTGTTATTTTCATAGACTTTATAACTCCTATTTATTTTATGTGTATGGTTCGAGAATAAATTAATAAGGAAACCTGCGTGTGGGTTTCCTATATACGCCTCTACCCAAATTATAACCTTCTTTGCTCATTAATATATCCACAAAACGCAATTTTTTATCCTTTTCTAACTTAGTATTAGCATCTATTATATTTATTAGCTCTAGGAATTCCTCCAAACTATCTTTGCTCTGTTGCCAAACAGCAAAATAATCGTCCATATAGCGAACTAATAACTTTGGAACTGGGAGTCTCTTGAGACACATTAATTTCTAATTAAGTAATGTAGTTCTTAGCTAAAATAATGGCTAAACAAGATCCAACTGTCAAGCCCCGTGTCTGCTCATACAGCCTACCATTGAAGGTAAACTATATATTATACATACGACGGACGAAAGCTTAGCACGTCTTCACCGTAATCGAAGGAGATTGTCTTAGCAACAGCTTCAACAATAAAGCCATTCAAGGGGAATCCGTCGTCGTTTCCTGATGGGATCGACCTTCGAATCTCTTTACCAAGCATTTTAACTCGAAATGGAAGTAAGCTCAACAATAAAAGTGATTTGACCTTATCTTCGCAACTTGGCCTTTTTTCAGGGGGGCATAGATGAATGTACCGTATCCCAAGTCATCTGTTATTTTAGTTATGACTTCGACTAAGTCCGAAATCCAAAGTAGTGTTTTGTACCAAACTTTGCATTAATTTGACCAGGTCCTAGTCTTGATGAGTTATTTTGGTTAAGCTAAGCTTTATTAGCATTTACTTCATAAACCCACAGGCATGAAAAGAGGAGTAAAAAATAAAACGCGCATATGAGTTTATTATATACGTTCACACCTAGCTTAGTTTCTACATTGTTAAAGAGAACATTCAAATTGGCTATCCTACTATCTCAGTCCTCCAGACAACACAACCAAGTTGTTAAAACAATTATTGTTAAAACTAATTCAGACGAATGAAGTCTAATAAATGAACTAAAAGCCGTTGAGCTCCCAGAAAATTAGAGCAGGATTAAAATCGTGCTCAAGACTGAATAACTCGTTAATCCATTTTGGTGACGCAGTTCCTTCACTGGGAATATTTCATTATTCTCACTCTACCACAGAATTTTGGCCTGGCCCGCGCTTAAGTAAGTCGTGGAGACCTATACAAATTTGCGCGCGCAAGCTCGCTCGGACACTTAGGTAACCATGATTGCATTCAGAAGGCAGACTCATATGCGAAGCCTTAAATAGGTGTGTTAGAGGCTAAAAACAATATCTCTAGCATAGCATGAAAGCGTTCGGCGGTTGGGATTATATCTGGCAGCTTTCAGCCAAGTCCGATTTTGGGATAATATGAACAACTGCTGGAGGGCAAGGGTGATGACAAATAGCTAAGTACTGAGAAGAAAGAGGAAGGAAGACAAGTCGCTGGAGGCTAGAAATGTTAATGGACTGGTGAAGAATGACAACAGATGGACGAACAACAAATCTGGAGAACAAATCTCCTAGAAATGATAGTTCACTAAAACCGATCAAGATAGACAGATAGACATACGTACATACAAACATAAATACACATACAGACACAAATACATATACGTATGCATACATACATACATACATACATACATACATACATACATACATACATACATACATACATACATAC